ATTAGGCAAGAAAAAGGAATAAAAGGAATCCAAATAGGCAACGAGGGGCCAGCCCAGTGGCGCAAGTGGGTAAGTGCGCACGCTCCGCTGCAGCGGCCCGGGGTTGGCTGGTTCAGATCCCGGGCACGCACCAACGCACTGCTTGGCAAGCCATGCTGTGGCGGCGTCCCATATAAAGTGGAGGAGGATGGGCATGGATGCTAGCCCAGGGCCAGTCTTCCTCAGTAAAAAAAGAAGAGGATTGGCAGATGTTAGCTCAGGGCTGATATTCCTCACACACACAAAAAAAATTAAAAATAGAAATACCTTTTGATTCAGCTATCCCACTACTGGGTATCTATCCAATGAACCTGAAATCAACAATTCAAAGAGGCTTATGCACCCCTACATTCATTGCAGCATCATTCACTGTAGCCAAGAAGTGCAAGCAACCCAAGTGGCCCTCGACTGATGATTGGATAAAGAAGACCTGGTATATATATACAACGGAATACTACTCAGCCATTAAAAAAACACAAAATTTTCCCATTTGCAACAACATGGACGGACATGGAGGGTATTACGTTAAGTGAAATAAGCCAGAGACAGAAAGACAAACACCACATGATTTCACTCATATATGGAAGATAAACCAACATACGGACAGAGAGAACTGTATGGTGGTTACCAGGGGCAAGGGGGTTGTGGAGTTGGCCCAAGGGGTGAAGAGACACATTTATATGGTGACTGACAAATAATAATGTTCAACTAAAATTTCACAATGTTATAAACTATTAATACATCTATAATAAAAAAAAAAATACTAAGATAGTATTTGCCTTTTTCATTGTGCTGAATATGCACTGATGGTGCAAAAACAAAATGGAAACTCCTGGTGCCGTCACTCAAAAGCAAGACAGCAGGACAGCAGCATCCAACTATGCTAGCAGTCACTGTATTTATCATCACCATGCACTTGCAGTTTAAAAAAAAAAGTTTTACTTAAGAATGTCCTAGATGAAATAGCAGAAAGTATTAATTTTTTTATTAAATCTCAAGCCTCGAGTACATGTCTTTTGAACATTCTATAGGACAAAATGAGAAGTATGCATAAATCACTTCTGTAAACCAACAGATGGCTGTGTAATTTTCTGTGTAGTTGTAAGTTCGACTAGCTACTTCTTTCAAGGAACATCATTTTTACCTGAAACAATAAACGACAAATTACGATGATTTAAACCTTGGTACTTGGCAGACATTTTCTCAAAATTGAAACAAGTGAGCCAGTCCCTTCAAGGAAAATAACTGACAATATTTGTTGCTAATGATAAAATTTGAACTTTCAAGTAAAAATTTGTATTTTAGAAACATATCCACCACCACAAGCTTGACAGCTTTATAATACTTTAAGATTTTTATGATGAGATCCATTAGTGATACTAATGGATATAATTTTTTGATATTATATAAGGAAATATGTCAATATGTTAAAGACCTACATATCTCAGTAAACCACTGTTTTCCAAATAACCACTGCGTGATTTTACCAAATCATGCAAGATGAAAGATCCATTCAAAATGCCAAGATATTCCAATATATTTTAATGTAATAGAGTACAAATAATTCATTAATATGATTTCATATCCCACACTGAGCATAATCGCTAAGAAATGACCACTTGCTGAATTTGGGTGCAACATCAAAGAAATAACCAGAATTATTTGAAAAGGCTATTAAAATACTCTCTCCTTTTTCCAATTACATATCCATGTGAGGCTGGATTTTTCTTCACATACTTCAACCGAAATAACATAACTCAAGAGATCGAATGCAGAAGTAGATAACGAGAATCAGCTGAGTTCTTTTAAGCCAGAAGGTAGAGATTTTCAAAAACATAAAACAATGCTGTTCTTCTAATTTTTTAGAAAAGTTTTTTCATTAAAAAATGTTATTTCTGATAACATGTAATTGGTTATTATTTTAAATGAATTAGTTTTTCAATTTCTCAGTTTTAATTTCTAATACAGTAAATATCAATAACTACAGCCCCCCATATAACAAAAGCTCTTTGGGGTCCTCAATAATTTAAGAGTGTTAAGGGGTCATGAGACTAAAAAGTGTGAAACCGCTACTCTAAACCACTGCCCTAAAGCGACATAACTGAATGGGGCTAATTCTTATATTAATAGCTTTGAAATGTGCTTCCCTATTGCTCTACCATAGTGCTATTTCTACCTTAAAAAGGATCACAGGCTGTTATTTAGGTGATCTTGATTATTCTTTTTATGTATTCCATAAAGGAGCCCTGAACCATTCAACTCTTTCAAGATACACACCACATTCTCTAAGATGAACATCCAACTTCTCTATACCATTCTTCATTTGCTACATTTCTCATCACAACTACCGCCACTCCCCAGTTTCACCCAGCCACATTTTGCACACTCATCTGCCAATGTCTTTTCTTCTTTGTATTCTCAATGCCCAGTGCAACCTCTGAACAGAACAGGCACTTTCCTGAATCAATAAGGTATGTCTCCTAAAAAGTCGCACCAAAAAGCAAACACATTGCTCCAGGTCACTGTTTTTCAAACTATGGGACACAATCCATGAGTAATTTTATCATTAGATGCAACAGGTAGGTAATGACTGGCATTTTTTTTTAATGACATAGAATAGAATAAATAAAATAGTAAGTATCTTTGCTACATGCCAGGTACACAAATAAGGACTGATTTATGAAACTTCTTTGAAATTAAGAGTCATGATTTAAAATGTTTTTGTTACTATGCAGTATGATCAAAAAACTTTAAAACCACTGCTCCAGATCACATTTCAACAGGTTTCCTCCCCCCTGATAAGCACATCATGCATTCTATTAATTGATCCAACATATAACAAAAGAATTCTGTCACCTACTACCACAGAAAATATTTTTGGTATGTTTCTTCAGCTGAACAGAATGGCTTTTACACATATTTACCTTTACAGCCCCGAGCAATTTTTCATTCATCAGGCAGAGGTTGTAAACCAGTAGCCCTAGGCCAAATTTGGTTCTAGATCTTTTATTCTGCTAGGTCTTTTTAAAATGTTATTTTGTAAATAAATGTGAATGCCTTTAAGCAGGGCACAAATGCTCCAGATTGGCACAGCTCCCACTTGTCCCAATTATACAACACCACCACCATTTCACAGTTATCTGCCTGCCCCCTAAACAAATTGGAGTTTGCAACGTGTGATAAAGAAATGGCAGGGGCCGGCCCCATGGCTTAGCAGTTAAGTGCACGCACTCCAGTACTGGCGGCCCGGGTTTGGATCCGGGCGCGCACCAAGGCACCGCTTCTCTGGCCATGCTGAGGCCACGTCCCACATACAGCAACTAGAAGGATGTGCAACTATGACGTACAACTATCTACTGGCGCTTTGGGGAGAAAAAGGAAAAGAAAGGAGGAGGATTGGCAATAAATGTTAGCTCAGGGCTGGTCTTCCTCAGCAAAAAGAGGAGGATTGGCATGGATGTTAGCTCAGCGCTGATCTTCCTCACAAAAAAAAAAAAAAAAAGAAAGAAATAGTAGAAATAACCTGTCAAACAACTAAAGGTAAGAAATGTATGTGACTGTTTACCATTGTACTAACTGAAGAGCCTATGTAAGCAAACAGTACCTGGGAGTGCATGTTGCCCAGACGCCACGGAAAGCACCCTCTCTTGTTCTTCCATGAGTCTCTGCAGCTGCTCTAACTGTTGCCTCTTCAGTTGTTCCTGCTTCTTCTGTTGTACTTCTTTCAGCTTTTTAAACATAAAATAACTTTATTAAACTAACTTTACATTTCTTTATGGACCTTTGCTCCTTACATTTATCTTAATCCCTCTGATCGCCCTTCTCATATCTTCTCTAATAAAGAGTTTCAAAGAGGGATCCCTAAGGAACTAAATCTGCCACCAAAACTCTAAAATCCAGTTTTTTATGAAGGAAACCGTATCGACGATCTCAACTAAGAAACAGAAAAAGTCATATAAATCCTTTGATTCTTAAAATAGGATAGGTATCAGAACATTTATGATCAACATTTCCCCCCTAATATTTGATCAACCATTTCTAATTTAGTTTTTGTTATCTTAAGTTTGATATTTATGACTTACACATTAAACATGTTTTAATGTTTCTGATTAGGCAAAAGGCAAAATTTGGCATTTTAAGGATTTCACAGTAAAGGAGAAGAAAAAGAGAACCTGCAACAGGTTACTTTTCACCATAAAGAGAAACCTGCAATGACACAAAGACATTTGACATTTAGGCCAAATCCTGTTGTACCTGTTCAAGCCTTTTGAAAAGTGGGTCTTTACAAGCCACTTCTTTGAATTCACTTGCAAGATCTGAGATAAAGTCATTTTTGTTATCATATTCCCATTGTCCAGGAGCATTCTGACATGCCACTATTGGTAGTCCCTCTTTAGTTAAAGGAAAGACTATATGTGCTTCAAATTTATCTGGTTGTAGTTTGTAAGGGCTGTTATACTCCAACTTCTGTTCTTCTCGAAGTGAATCTTCTTCACTTATAAAGCTGAAACTATTTGAAAAATGTGTGGCTTTAACAGGAAAGTTGGTAGAAATGTTCACATTTGCTCGATTCTCTTTGTCGGCTTGCAAAATAGGAAATCCACGATTTAATATGACCCCAGCCCGAGAAGGACTGGTCATCCACTGAGTTAAGAAGTTCTGCCCACTATTTAACTCTGAAGAGGTTGGCATCAGGAACATTTTAGTCCAATGACAAACACTATTGTCTTTAAATCATGTAAAAGCTAGAAGAGGTAATAATTTCCAACACCTGTTGAAAGAAGACAGCCAACAAAAAGTATTAGTTAAAGCTATTCTACCCAAACCTCAACCCAGCACAAAAATCTACTGAATATTTCACATACAAGAGACTTTAACTAGCAAAGCAATTGGGCATTAAGCTACATGTTTTTTTTAAAGTCTTAAAAATATCCAAATTGAGTGGATCAAAAACCTAAATTCCTTTTTGATCTAATCATTTAATAGCCGATGACTTTATACAAGTGCTAGATCAGTTGACAAGAGCAAAAGCACCTTCTAAACTATTTGATTGAGGCCGGCCCCGTGGCTTAGTGGTTAAGTGCATGCGCTCCACTGCTGGCAGCCCGGGTTTGGATCCCGGGCGCGCACCGACGCACCGCTTCTCCGACCATGCTGAGGCCGCGTCCCACATACAGCAACTAGAAGGATGTGCAACTATGACATACAACTATCTACTGGGGCTTTGGGGAAAAAAATAAATAAATAAAATCTTTAAACTATTTGATTATCAAAGGAAAAAAAAGCCACTATCAATATCAAGTATTACCCACATTAAGCACTTTCATGCTTCTGACCCTCCTCCAACATTGCTTCTTTGCCCAACTGGGGAGCCTGTGTTCTCCCTAGTTCCAGAACAAAAGTCACCACCACCCCAAGACTTTACCTAGCACTGTTTCCTGCTGTCCCTTCCTCCCTCATCTTCGTTCTAACCCTTCGTCCACCAGGCAGTCCCTCATCTGTATTCCAGTGGTCTCTGACATCACTATTTCGGCATTCATCTCGGTATTAGTGCTATGTTGCTCTTGTGTTCATAATCTACGAAGTTGTGAGTTCCTTGAAGATATCTGTATATTCACCATTGCCTAAGATCATTAACTCCTGGCAGACAGGAGAAACTTGATAAATATTTGCTAAAATTAAGTTAAAATTAAATCAGAACTAAGCTTATATTACTGAAAATAAATTCAGCATTATAAAGTATTATTTGTGTTCATTCAATGCTCAACACTAAAAATTACATTGGCTCATACCATAGGACAGCTACTCTGTGTGAATCATACTCTAAAATAATGAAATTCCGAGTGTAACTCTGCCACAGTGCAATAGAGAAACTTAAATGGGACATCACAGAGACGATAAGCTCTTCCTCCTTTGTATGTCTGATTTTACTCAACTAACACTTATTGAGTTCTTACCTGTGCCAAATACTGTTTTAGGCACTGGCTATACAGCAGTTAATAAGTCAGAGTCTAGTGGGGAAAATTCACACACACAGAAGTAAATTATATAATATGTTAAACAGTAATAAGTGCTAAGGAGAAAAATAAAAACCATGTTGGGGAAGGAGATTGCCAATTTAGACAGGCTGGACAGGGAGGCTTCATTTAAAGGATAAAATTAAGGACCTGGTGGAGGAGAAGGAGCAAAGGGTGCAGCTACAAGGGGCAAAGCAAGAGCCAGCCACCCAGACTTTACAGCCTTCATCTGCAGGATGTCCCCCACCAATGCCCCATTCCTCCAGAAACCCACCAGTTGTCAGGGTCCCATCACAACTACCTACTTTGAATTCTCCAGGATTAATCTCTTCATGTGAGATGAAGAGATTTAGAGAGTAGAGAACAAAGAGATTTACACCAGAAGACCATGGCTCCCAAGCCACACTTTATCTCTTATACTCTAATCTCCATGCACATGCCTTATTCTGTCTCCATTTCCCAAGCATCCCCAATGCCAAAACACTCTCCATCACCAGCAAAATCTATTATCCTTAACCTCTTCTCTCACCTCCCTGAGAAAACTTCTTCCTATCAAGTTCATACCCTTGTACCACTGGGTCTGAAAGTAAAATATGTGTTTTCCTTATTGTTCTTTTTTGCTTCTAGACTATTCTCCCTTCCTCTACCATAAAAAGCACCCAATTTTGAAACTCATATGATCAGACTACATAACCTACACCTGGCTCCTTTATTGTCTACCAAACCTCCAGAGGCCACTGGGATCTTCCCCTTCATTCTTTAAAATTTTCTGGCAGAGCAGCTAGAAGAACAGAGTTGCCATTAACTGAAATGGGGAAAACTGGGGATGAAACAGGTTTGGTGGAGTGAGAGATCAAAAGCTGAATTTAGGACATTTTAAGACGTCTATCAGACGTCCCAAGAGACATCATGTAGGCAGCTGGACACACAAGAATGGAATTCATGGATGAGGCCAAGGCTGTGAAGCATAAATGTGGGAATCCTTAGCATATACATGGTATTTAAAGCCTTAACACTGGATGAAATCACTAAAGGATTGAGGGTAGAGAAAAAAGAAAAGACGTAAAAAGCGTAGTGTCTTTGAAGCCAAATGAAGGCAGTGTTTAAGGAAGAAAGGGTTGAGTTAAATGCTGTTAACAGATGAAAGGTGAGGAGCACTGAGAACTGACCTTGGAATTTGGCAAAGCAAAGGTCATGATAATTTCAGCTTGTGTGGGGGGGGGTGGTCACAAAAGCTTGAATTAAGGGGATACATGAAAGAATAAGAAATTGGAGAGAGTGAATATAGCTAATTCTTTCCAAGAGTTTTGTTATAAAGGGAAGGAAATAAATAGAACAGTAGCTGCACAGGAAAGCAGGGTGAAGAGAGATTTTTTTTTAAGACAGGAGAAACGGTCCAGCCCCGCCACCTAGTGGTTGAGTTTGGCGCACTCCACTTCGGCGGCCGGGGTTTGCGGGTTCGGATCCTGGACACAGACCCAAACTATTCGTCAGCCACGCTGTGGCGGTGACCCACATACAAACAGAGGAAGACTGGCACAGATGTTAGCTCAGGGACAATCTTCTTCAGCAAAAAAAGAAAAAGAGAAATAAAAGCATGTTTGTAGGCCGATGAGAATAGAGGGAGGAGAGAACTGCTATAGCCATGTCTTTGAGAGGAGAGATGAGATCTAGTACCTAAGTGGAATGACATCTCACATTAGTTTTAGACAAAATTCTGACAAACTTTATCAGTATAATACAGCAAAATATATATAACCAAAGTGAAATGAAAATGGCAATTTGGAAGCAAACAAATATGTATTTAGCTTCATATCTAGTGTCTAAAAAACATAAACACACAAAAGATAAAAACAGAAAAAGAAATATAGATGCTCAAACATTAAAATATGCTCATCCTCGTTCAACTGAATAGAAATTAAAACAGTAACAACATACTATTTTTCACATATTGGCTTGGCAAAGACTAAAATTTGATAATACCCAGTGTGGAAGAGGAACTCTTTCATAAAATGTTACTTGGAAATGTAAATTGGTACAATCTTTTGGAGGGCAATTGGACAACATCTATCCAAACTGTAAAGGCACAAAAACTTTGACTCCTCAATCTCACATCTAGGCATTTTGTGCTATATTGGCACAAGTTCACAATATTTTTAATAAACTGAAATTACCTTAAATGTCCAATAACAGGGGACCAGCTAATTATGGTATTCATATCATGCAACTATTAAGGAGAACAAGTAAGCTCATTAAGTACTGATCCGGAAGTAATGAATATATCCAAGATATACTGTTAATTGACAAAGGCAAAGTGCAAAGCAGTGTATAACAGATGAGAAAGAAAGACAAAAATATATAATTACATAGACTTGTGCTGTCCAATATCCAATATGGTGGTAGCTACTACTTATATATGGCTATTGAGCACCTGAAATGTGGCTAATGTGACTGAAGAACTGAAAGACAGATGGTGTCATTTTATTACGTCAAAAATACAGATTTAATAAAATTTTAAAACAAGAGACTGCTGTTTCCCTTGTTGCTTTGTTCCACTGTATGACACATTGAAAATACTTGTGCTCCATATTCTGAAGCAGAATTCTAGAACAGTATCACTAGATAGTTGTTAAAATTGTTCAGTATGTATATGCAAATACTATGAATCACCAGCTTATGGAACTGTTGAAAGATACAGAAGGCAGTAAACTTAATGATATTGTTTTTTGCCAATGTGCCCTCGTTGAGTCGTGGACGAGTTTTACAAAGGCTTACCAAGTACTTACTGTACGTGAATTCCAACTAAAGATTTTCTAGGAACAAAAGGAATGCCTGCAAACTATTCAATAACCAAAGACAAAAACAGCAGTGTGAGTTGTTTTCTCACTGATATCACACTTGGAAAACCACAGCTATTCAGGCATTTTAAAAAACTGCTGCTACAGGCAACAACATGAATGAGTAATGTTGAATCAAAGTCTGACATAAATACGCACTGTATGTTTGCATTTAATATGAACTTCAAGAATAGGCAAAATAAATCAATAGGTACAGAAGTTAGAATCACGGTTATCTAGGAAGCTGGGGGTGGTATCATAGACTGGGAAGGGGCTTCTGCCTTCACCGATGACAGCAAGTGTTCCTCATCTGGGTGGTGAATACACTGGTGTATAAATTTGAGCTGTACCTTTAAGATTAGGGCACTTTACTGGATATTCCAGAATAATTTTTAAATATCTGTTCTGGGGAGCTGGCCCCATGGAGTAGTAAATTCTACACCCTCTGCTTTGGCAGCCCAGGTTCATGGGTTCAGATTCCGGTGCGCAGACCTACACTACTGTCAGCCATGCTGTGGCGGTGGCCCACATATAAAACAGAGAAAGATTAGCACAGATGTTAGCTCAAGGTGAATCTTCCTCAGGGGAAAAAAAAAAAGAAATTTGTTCTAAGCAAACTAATTCCATTGCTGAGTTGGAAGCCTATCTAAAAACCTAACAATTTTTCATCAAAATCAACCAAGTAACCTTGGTTAAATTTAAATCACCTTAGCAGGAACCACTTGAAATCCAAATTCAGAAAAGAGACAAGCTACGAAGTCATTTTGTAACATCAAAGCCTAGAAAAGTTCCCTACTAGACGGATAAGTCCAAGTACCCGTTGTGATGCAGCACTCAGACATCTGCATCTTTCCCCCGCTCAAAAAAAAAATCCTCTATTCCCTCATTTCAATATCACGCCTATAATCCTAAAAG